AAATCTTAAAAAAAAAAAAAAAAAATTATATAATTTTTTTTCATACTGTCACCAGTCAGTGTCTCTGATCACCGCCGTGCCAGTTATATGATGACGTTGTACTGCACTGGTGAGTATGTAAAAAAAAAAAAAAAAAAAAAAAATTTTCATTTTTTCCGAAAAATTATGACAAAAATACAACTTCAAAAAACTCACCATGCCTCTTATGAAGTACGTCGGACTGTCTACTCTGCAAAAAGGGGTCATTTGGGGATATCTGTACTGTTCTGACATTTGGGGGATATCTGTACTGTTCTGACATTCTTGGACCTCAAGAAATTAGATTGGCTGTCAGTACTTCAGGATTGATCAATATTCAGATCTATACCATAGTTTGTGAACTCTATAACTTTCCTGCAAACTAAAAAATACATCCTAATTTGGGTTATTTTCACCAAAGACATGTAGCAGAATACATCTCGGCCTAAATTTATGAAGAACAATTATTTATTTGTAAGCTTTTATAACAAAAACAAAGAAAAACGTGGTGTTTTTTTTCAAAATTTTCGGTCTTTTTGTGTTAATTTAGCAAAAAATAAAAAACCCGGCGGTGATTAAGTACCACCAAAAGAAAGCTCTAGTTGTGTGAAGAAAATAAAATTTTAGTTTGAATGACAATTGCGCGGTCATACAACATTGTACCCAAAGTGTGAGAGCGCTGAAACCTGAAAAATGGCCTGGGCAGGAAGGGGGTAAAAGTGCCCGGTATGGAAATGGTTAAACTAGTGTTGTGCTCTGCAGAAGCAATTACCTACTGAAGAATGACTTAGAACACAGTACTGGGGTTTATCTGTAAAGATATCCGCACAGTTATGGTTGAACTGGATGGACTTGTCTTTTTTGACTAACTATGTAACAAAGCGTAAAACAGAGATTTATGCATGTTGCCTTTCTTTTACTATTCCAGTGCGTTCTAAAAAATACAGCTACATAAATCTTTTAAGGAGTCTGAGGGCTTTTTAACCATGTGCCTACAGGGCACTTATACCCCTTCCTGCCCAGGCCAGTTTTCAACGCTGTCACACTTTGAATGACAATTGCGCAGTCATGCAACACTGTACCCTTATGAAATTTTTATATTTTTTTTGAGACAGAGCTTTCTTTTGGTAGTATTTAATCACCTCTGGATTTTTTTTTATTTTTTGCTAAACAAACCAAAAAACCACTGAAAATTTGAGAAAAAAAAAAAGTTATAAAATTTTGTAAATAAGTGATTTTTCTCCTTCACTGATGCTCACTAATGAGGCTGCAGTGATGGGCACTGATGAGGCACCGGTGGGCATTGACAGGCATCACTGATGGGCACTAAAAGGCAGCACTCATATATGGCACTGATAGGCAGCACTGTCTAGCACTGTTAGGTGGCACTGAAAGGCAGCACTGAAAGACACAAAGGCAGCTTAGATGGGCACTGATATGTGGCAATGGTGTGCACTGGTAGGCACTGATATGTGGCATTGATGTGGCACTGATGGGCACTGGCAGGTGGCACTGCTGGGGCTACACTGATCATCAGTGCACATGTCCCCTCTGAGGGATGCCGATTACCGGCTCTCCTCTCCTCTCCTGTCAGCGTGACAGCTCGTGAGGAGCGAAATGCTGATAACCAGAATTTCCCTATTTACATGCAATCAGCTGTGATTGGACACAGCTGATCACATGACCGAGCCGACATCTTCGGCTCTTTCCGTTGATCAGTGATCCGCTGTGTCTGAGGGACACAGCGCACCGCCAATTTGCCGTGCTGCCTGCCCCCCCGGAGCCGCGCATGCACGGTTAGAATGGGAGGACGTCATATGACAGAGAACCGCCTTGCGCCCGTCATTACCTTATATGGCGGGCGGGAGATGGTTAAATTAGATCTCTTTCAGCAGTTGTAAAGGCTTTTTTTCACAAAATAATAAAAAACATGTTATACTTACCTGCTCTGTGCAATGGTAATGCTTAGAGTGGCCCTGCTCATCTGGGGTCCCTTGCTGGCGATCTCAGCTCCTCCTCTTCTGCGTGTGCCCCCATAGCAGCTGCTTGCTATGGGGGCACACCTGCGGGCTTGCTCCTCAGCCAGGCTATGTGCATCCATAGACAAACACAGTGTGGCTTGGCCCCTGCTCCCCATGACCTCCTCACAAGATTTGATTGACAGCAGCAGGAGCCAATGTGTCTCCCCCTGCTGCCCTATGTGTCCTGTGAAGTAAGGAGTACAGACCAGCGCCGATGCAGACAACCTTAGCACTGGATCAAGATAGAACAGATGGGAGGGGTGCTAGGGAATGCATTAAGGTAAAAAAATGTGATGTCTTTAGAACCACAATAAAGCAAATGTAATATGAACCTTTACCCCCTTGCAGATTAAATTTGCCATTCTGATCTCCTTCCATAACTAATATGAGCTGCCTGAACATTTTTTGCTGAATTCAATCTGGTAATCCTTATACTAGACATAGGTTGTTTCACTGCAGAACTGTCAAAATCAGTAGACCAAGGCAAGAGAGTAACAAGGATAATTTGCTTTTTACATTTTCTTCCCCCAGTCACCCGCCACATAAAGCTTTTTTGTCGAATTATCCTTTAATGAAGTTTGGATGAATATTTAATAGTACTTTCCCAGCTCCACAAGAAACAGTCTACATTGTCTGAAGAGAGACCATTCAGATTAATATTGAATCACTTACCCCAAGGAGGATTTCCTAAATCTTTGAAGTGAGTTGAAACAGATACTAAGTCAGTTTCTATTTTCAGGTTAATTTTCTCATTTCTATTTGCTTCAATAACCTTTGGGGAAAAAAACAAATATATATACGATATTATAACCTGCGATATTCAGTACTGCAATTTCTAAGTATGACCAACATTAGTGGTCACATACAGGTGAAACTCGAAACTCGAAAAAAATTTGAATATGGTGCAAAAGTTCATTTATTTCAGTGCAGAAACTTAAAAGGTGAAAATAATATATGAGATACTCATTACATGCAAAGCAAGATAGTTCAAGCCGTGATTTGTCATCATTGTGATGATTATGGCTTACAGCTCATGAAAACCCCAAATCCACAATCTCAGAAAATGAGAATATTACATGCAATCAATAAAACAAGGATTGTACACAGAACAATATCGGACCTCTGAAAAGTATAATCATGCATATGTACTCAGTACTTGGTTTGGGCCCCTTTTGCAGCAATTACTGCCTCAATGCGGCGTGGCATGGAAGCTATCAGCCTGTGGCACTGCTGAGGTGTTATGGAAGACCAGGATGCTTCAATAGCGGCCTTTAGCTCTTCTGCATTGTTCAGTCTCGTGTCTCTCATCTTTCTCTTGGCAACGCACCATAGATTCTCTATGGGGTTCAGGTCAGGAAGGTTTGCTGGCCAATCAAGTACAGTAATCCCACGGTCAATTGAACCAGGTTTTGGTGCTTTTGGCAGTGTGGGAGGTGCCAAGTCCTGCTGGAAAATGAAGTCAGCATCCTCATAAAGCTCCTCTACCGAAGGAAGCATGAAGTGCTCCAAAATCTCCTAGTAGACGTTGACCCTGGACTTAATGAAGCACAGTGGACCAACACCAGCAGATGACATGGCTCCCCAAATCAACACAGACTTCAGGCATCTTGCAGTGTGTGCCTCTCCATTCTTCCTCCATACTCTGGGTCCTTGGTTTCCAAATGAGATGCAAAAGTTGCTCTCATCAGAAAAGAGGACTTTGGACCACTGAGCAACAGACCAGGTCTGTTTTTCTTTAGACCAGGTAAGACGCTTCTGACATTGTTTGTTGTTCAGGAGCAGCTTGACAGAGGAATACGACATTTGAAGCCCATGTCCAGGATCTGTCTGTGTGTGGTGGCTCTTGATGCTCTGACTCCAGTCTCAGTCCACTCCTTGTGAAAGTCCCCAACACTTTTGAATGGCCTTTTCCTGACAAATCCTCTCCAGGCTGTGGTCATCCCCTGCTGCTTGTGCACCTTTTTCTTCCACACTTTTCCCATCCACATAACTTTCTATTAATGTGCTTTGATACAGCACTTTGGGAACATCCAACTTCTTTTGCAATTACCTTTTGAGGCTTTCCCTCCTTATGGAGGGTGTCAATGATGGTTTTCTGCACAAACTGTCAGGTCAGCAGTCTTTCCCATGATTGTGATTCCTACTGAACCAGACTGAGAGACCATTTAAAGGCTCAGGAACCCTTTGCAGGTGTTATGGCTGAATGAGCTGATTAGAGTGGGACACTTTGAGCGGAGAATATTGCACCTTTTCACAATATTCTCATTTTCTGAGATTGTGGATTTGGGGGTTTTTCATGAGCTGTAAGCCATAATCATCACAATGATGACAAATCACAGCTTGAACTACCTTGCTTTGCATGTAATGAGTCTATCTCATATATTAGTTTCACCTTTTACGTTGCATTACTGAAATAAATAAACTTTTGCACGATATTCAAATTTTCACCTGTATGTCTGGCCATTTATGGGCAAATGCTTTACAGTGTGACAGAGTTAATTTAATAAAGGATATCGAAAGGATTTCACTTAGCGGAGTGAATTTTTCATTTATCTTAGTAAATGAAATAAAGAGAAGTTAAAATTTACTTTGCAAAAAAATATCCAATCATGCACAAAGTAGGGTTTAAAAAGGAACAAGTGATTTTTGTTTGCAAAATATGAATAATTATGCTTAAGTGATTATTATTATGTGCCATATTAATCACAGAAGATTCTTCTGTGAATATATGGCACATAAAAAAATCAAGGATGTAATTTCATTTAATTTAACCACCTCCTGCCCGCCATATAGTACAATGACGGGCGCAAGGTGGGTTCTGTCGTTCTGATATGACGTCCTTCCATTCTCACCGCGCATGCACGGCTCAGGGAGCGTGCAGCGCGGCGATCGCCGGTGCGCTGTGTCCCTCGGACACAGCAGATTCTGGAAAGAACCGAAGATGTTGGCTCGGTCATGTGATCAGCTGTGTCCAATCACAGCTGATCGCATGTAAACAAGGAAATGCCGGTTATCGGCATTTCTCTCCTCTCGAGCTGTCACGATGACAGAGGAGAGGAGAGCCGGTAATCGGCTTTCCGCGGGAGGGGACATGTACACTGATCATCAGGGCACTGATGATCAGTGTGCCCTGATGATCAGTGTGGCCCCAGAAGTGCCACCTGTCAGTGTCCATCAGTGCCAGCAGTCAGTGCTCATCAGTGCCACGTGCCAGTGCCCATCATCAGTGCCACATCAGTGCCCATCTGAGCTGCCTTTCAATGTCACCCATCAGTGCCGCCTAACGGTGCGCATCAGTGATGCCTGTCAATGCCCATCAATGCAACCTACCAGTGCCTCATCAGTGCCACTTATCGGTGTCCATCAGTGCAGCCTATCAGTGCCCATCACTGCAGCCTCATTAGCACACATCAGTGAAGGAGAAAAATCACTTATTTACAAAACGGTATATCTAACAAAAACTAACTAAAAAAAACTTTTTTTTTTTTCAAAATTTTCAGTGGTTTTTGGTTTAAGAAAAAATAAAAATCCCCGAGGTGATTAAATACCACCAAAAGAAAGCTCGGTCTCAAAAATATGATAAAAAATTTTATATGGGTACAATGTTGCATGACCGCGCAATTATCAAAGTGTGACAGTGCTGAAAGCTGGAAATTGCCCTGGTCAGGAAGGGGGTATAAGTGCCCGGACAGGAAGTGGTTAAGAAGTAGTTGCAGATCCATGTGAGCACAGTTAGGCTCCAATGAGTAAATGTAAATAGCCCAGTGAGACTAAAATGATGCATGGGCAACAAGTTATTCCACTACATTGCCTGAAAATCAGGGGTAGGTTTTCAGATGCTTTTCTTTCTCCTGTATTGGTTAATAAAACAAGTGGTAAACTAGAGCAAAGCGAAGAAAATAGTGGACTTGGTTACAAAGATCTCTTCTATCATGCAGCTACGCCTCTGAGATTGGGAATGGAACTAACAATGCAGTTCACAGATCCGATTCCTATATAGAAAAGCATGTTCCATGCCTGCATGCTACAGAGTGTGACTAGGACCCTTGTACTCTGTAAGAGTGGTATCGTACCCTTGCGGAGTCAGACCAATAACTGCAATCAGCAGGGACTGTGCTGGACATTTGCAAGGAGAGAGCACTGTCACCTTACAAAGAGCAAGCATCTCATTCTGCAGCATGCTGATTAGGACACAGGCTTTTTTGTTTTGATGCATCTGGAATTTGGACGGATTTTTAAACTAAAATTTAAATTTGACTTTAAACTGGTGCAAATAATTGGAAGAGATAGAGATCTCAAAGAGAACCAGATGCACAAAAACTGTATGGTAGGAAGAACACACAAGCTTAACCACTTCCTGTCCGGACACTTTTACCCCCTTCCAGTCCAAGGCAATTTTCAGCTTTCAGCGCTTATCACTCACTTTGACAATTGCAGCGGTCATGCAACACTGTACCCCAAATGAATTTTTTACCATTTTTTGAGACCGATAAAGCTTTATTTTGGTTGGTATTTATTCACCGCTGGAATTTTTATTTTTTTGCTATGTAATGAAAAAGTCCAAAAATTTTGAAAGTGTTTTTTTTAATAAAATTTTGCAAATAAATAATATTTCATTATAAATCTTTGCCAAAATTTATTCCGTTATCTTTTTAGTAAAAAAAAAAAAATTAGTGTTTTTTTTTACATATTTATTTATTTTTTTTACATTTTTATTTATTTATTTTACATACTGTCACCCTAGCAGTACAGTGTCACCATGGTGACACTGTACTACTTGTAGGGGGGTGGTGATGATTTTTTTTTTTTTTTTTTTTTTTTTACACACACATTGCTTTTACACCCATATAGGATGTAAAAAAGCAATCATTTTCTCTTTCTCTCTGTCTGCATTCTTGCAGCCATTGAAGAAATACTGTGTGAGCTGTGATTGGTCACAGCTTGTCACATGATACAAGGCTGTTGTGAATAGGCTTGTACCATGTGACCTCTGTGATCATTCACAGATTTCACACGTAGTAAGCAATGATGTCACAAGTGACATCTTGCTTACTACTTTGCATGTGATCACTGATGGCCAATCAGTGATCACATTGATCGGGACCTCATACAGATGGGTCCCGTCCGACAATCGGTTGTTTCACTGTGTCCAGAGGACAAAGCGGGCACCGGATCGCGGTGCTGCGTGCTCCCAGGCAGCTGGCGCACAAGCAGGGTGCGGGGAGGCCGTTTATAAACGGCCACCCGACCTGCACTGCCACCAGTGGCCGCCTTTTTATATGCAACAGCTGGTCGGGAAGTTGGTTAATACTTCAAAATGTAAAAACTTTTTTTTAAATTGAAACATTACTTTCAATTATTGTGGGTTGATTCAAATACATTTCACTTCCTCTTTCTTCCTACATTTTATTACATATAACTGAATAAATGTGAGCGAGTGTATATAGATTCAACTATTTTATAATTTAATTTAATCTGAATTAGTGTAACAATCTAAACAAATGACTATCGCTAGAGAAAACTGAAAGGGATCTGTGACATTTCCTATACACTAGACATGTTTACATAATACCTAGTCCCCTTAGGTTTGTATACTGGAAGCCAGAGTCCCACTGAATTTATAATTAACCTCGGTCATATGGAACAGGTGAATCTTCCAAAGGAACTGGTTCTAGCTGACTCGGGTTGCTTCAAAAACAGACCTAAATGTATTTTTTAAAACACCAAAATACTAATAATATTTAAAAAAAATAAATTGCGGAATGTTTAACAAGCTTTTCAATTGCCCTTGGTTCTCAGGGAGAATTTTATTTCCCTGTTGAAGCATATAGGATCAAGGTTTATACTTTTTTGTTGCAATTTTTTTTTGGTCGACTGATGGATGTGTACCTATGTTCAAACAAACTGGAAAACTGTATGCTTGTATTCTAGATCCTAAAACTCTGATAAAACAATCCCCCAAAGTGAGCAGAGTACTTTACTATAAAGTTGCTTAAATTCTTCATTCTCTCAACAACACTCTTCATAGTTTTAATTGCTGGCAAATATATGCTTACCTATGTAAATCGAAAATCAAAAATGAATGTAGTCACAAATAGTAAAATATAGAACTAAAAAAGTGCATTCACTTAAAAGCCTTTTAAAACTTAGTGTCACTAAACCTAGACCCTGCATTCACTATAATCTGGACTCCCCGGACCCTGCAAATTCACATTTATTGGTCTCCCCGGACCCCTGCATTCACTATATCTGGTCTCCCCGGACCCTTGCATTCACTATATCTGGTCTCCCCGGACCCTGCAATTCACTATATCTGGTCTCCCCGGGACCTGCATTCACTATATCTGGTCTCCCCGGACCTTGCAATTCACTATATCTGGTCTCCCCTGACCCTGCATTCACTATATCTGGTCTCCCCGGACCCTGCATTCACTATATCCAGTCTCCCTACAGTACACAGAACATGGAAAGACCAATTATTTTAGATAAATATAAACTGCTAATTACCTTTCCCTTATCAGAAGTTAGAGCAGTCCTATGACTTCTACCGTGTTGTCCACCAGAGCACTGGTTAAAAGCTTTGTAGGAGGAGTTTTCATTGTCCCTGATTGTCCTATGAGGCTTCATGACCCCTGCCCTCTGTCTGGACAGTGCTAATCACATACACTCTCCCAAGAAAAAAAATAAAAAAACTTTATCTCGGGCAATACACACCAAACTGAGCATTATGTAGCTTGCCCCAAGGCTCTTTCTGTCAGCAGATGATTGGGGACTGTGGAAGGGGAGGATTCAGAGAAGACAGGATCCAACATCCTTTTTACACAATGCAGAAAGGCATTAACCTCTTAGGTTCCATAGAGCATATAACAAGCATGCTTTACTGCATATACGGACTGATTTACTGTTGTGGGTTTTTAGTAACACTTTAAAAGTCAAAACTTTGATGATTTTCTTTTAATTTTCTGTTTTGTTTAGTATAGACTTTGTTGTTTTCAAGTGGACCACCATAGTCCTAACCCAACAGAGGGCCTAAAGTGTGGCCCTAGACACTACCAGTGGAAACCCACAATAGCAACGCCTCTTTGTGCGTTGAAGTGCACTGCATCAAAGTTAGGCAGTTAATGCAAAATGAATGAGCTGTTACACAAAGTCCAAAAATGGTGGTCCTGCAGCATTTTTTTGCAATATACTGTAATGCAAAATTTGGGTCATCATCAATGTAGTGGCGCAACCCCCCCACCCCTTTTCTCCCTCAGATTAGTGTTAGTGGATGGATTAGGGCACAATGCCCCCCAGGAGGATTTAGACAATGGCAAAAAAAAAAAATAAAAAAAAAAAAAAACCGCGACTAGTCTGGACAACCCAAGTGAATCTGCCTTTCCCTGTTTGATGGCAGTCCTTGCAGAAAGTGAATTTCCTGACATTAGGAAAAATTTTACTCAGAAAGCCTTTATCTCTCAAAAATTGGCTTCAACGCCGCCATTAACCACTTCCCGAAAACCCGGGCCCTTGCATATTTCCGTTGCATTTTTTAAACGGCCCCCCCTGCACCCTGCTTGTGCCGCTCCCTGGGGGCGCGCAGCCCCGATCCGGTGCCGCTGTGTCCCCCGGACACAGTAAACCCGGTCATTGGACGGACCTCGACGAGGTCCCCCATCATGTGATCATGATTGGCCAAAACAGTGATCACTACAAAGTAGTAAGCAAGATGTCACTTGGACATCATTGCACTAGTGTAAATCTGTGAATGTCACAGAGGCACATGGGACAAGGGGTATTCACAACAGCCCTTTTACCATGTGACAACTGTGACCAATCCGCTCACTCAGTACTTTTTCAATGAGTGCAAGAAAGCAGACAGAGAAAGAGAAATGATTGCTTTACATATAATTTGGGTGTAAAAGATGTGGTAAAAAAAAAAAAAAAAAAAAAAAAAATCACTGACTGCTAGGGTTAAAAGTAGTAAAAAATAAAACAAAAATAAAAAAAAAATAAAATAAAAAGTTTTTAAAAAATTTTAAAATTTTTTGGTTAAAAACTAATTGGATTTTTTTTTTTTTTTACTAAAAAGTAACGAAAAATTTTTGGCAAAAAAACTTATGTGAAATATTATTTATTTTGCAAAATTTTATAAAAAAAACACTTTCAAAAATTTTTTGGGCTTTTTCATTTCTAGCAAAAAAAAAAAAAAATCCCAGCGGTGAAAAAATACCCCCCAAATAACCTTTTTCTTTCAAAAAAGGAAAAAAAAATTTGGGTACAGGTTGCTGACCCCCGCAATTTTTTCAAAGTGGAAGCGCTGAAAAATTTCCCGGAAGGGAAGGGGGG